TCCGACCTCCCAACGCGGGTCACCGTGGCTGTCCTTTTTGCGGCGAAACTCACGCCTGTACAACCCCTGGCCGACGTCGATGCGGTCCAAATCATGAAGCTGCTGTCCGCCGTCCTGGAACTCTCGGCCGGTCGGTACATCGCCCCAAGCGCGCCGGTGGAGGTGAACGCCGTCGAGTCCAGCGCCCTCTCGGTCCATTCCTCCGCCGCGGCGTTGCTGTCCGCCATCGAATAACCCTAGGCCGCCGTCATCGGGACCCCACCCGCGCTGCCGCCGGTCAGCCCTGTCAAACCCATCGCCGCGCAGCCCACCACGACGGGGCCGGTCGTCATCCTCCCAAAACAGGCCGTCACAGTCGGAACAATCATCACCAACAGGCCCTGTACCACCGCACCGTTCGCCACGTCCCCTTGGCGCCCGAAAGCCTTCAGGTCCTCCGCGTCCCAGAATGCCGTCAGCAAAAGGATTGTCGATGGTAAGGGTCTCATCGGTATCAGATTCGCCGGGCAGTGGGTGTGGTGATTGCCGGCGAGGCGCCCCGCCAAAGCCACGACCACCACGACCACCGTGAAACCCTCCGCGTGCGCCCCGGTCGCCGGCGTCGCGGTTCGTACGCACTTCATCCATCAAGGTTCGCATCGCATCTCGCAAGTCATCGATCCCCGTTGAGATAACCGTGAATTTGTCGTCAATTCCATTAAAACGTTCATCCACTCGTTGGAAGCGTTCATCAATGGCGTTGTCGATTACGGTGTTCCTTTTCGGCGGCATCGTTGATCGTTGCTGGTCTGCTGATACCAACTGATGTAGAACGTGAATAAGAACGGGATAAAGAATGAGATACTCTCTCGTGAATTCACTGACATCTGATAAAATTCAATCAAAGCTGCTCCTTCTGTTACAATCCCTAGAATAAATAAAGAGGAGTCCTACTCCTACAAGATACTTGTAGGATATTTATTTATTTAATTGCTCCTAATAAATATATAAGTAGGAAATAAATAAAAAGGAAAGCAAATAATAATCAGATCAAATGCAGAGTCGATCATATTTGTCCAGAAACTCCAACGCGAGCTCGTCTCCATCAGAATATATTTGTTTATAGATATGCCACAATTAGAGTTTAAATGAATCAAAATTTTCACTTGACTATCAAGTCAATTGGGGCACAGCCGGAATCCAACTAGTATATATATATATATATAGGTGTTGGAGCTGGAGGAGTACAAAACTATTACTAATGAGTTAGTTATTAACCGAGTGGTCAACAATTGAAATAAGTGGAAACCAATAAACACTAGTTAAAAATACTTTATTTGGGACACGTGAGAACAATCCAAAAAGCTCCAAAGAAAGTGCCATGATGTTTAATTTGCTTAAATACGGAGTAGAGTGCCTTTGGAAGAGGGGTTGTTATTTAAATCATGTTTGTATACAAGAATTTTAAACAAAAATTATTATAACATTTTAACTCAATCATTTTTTTTAACTCAACTTTAACTCAACTCTACTATCATCAATATTATCAATATAATTAAATAATATCAATCAATCATTCATACACACCACATCAATCTTAATTTACTATTCATCTACTCACAATATTTTAACTAATTGTCACATCAAATTTTTTATTATTTTATTTTAAATATTATTTTAATATATCACTAACAATTAACCATACTACTTTTTTAAAATTAACCAAATCAAACAAAAAAATCCAACAAAACCAAAAATTTTCATATCCAAACATGCTCACATCCCTCATCATGAGGTCAAATAAATACTAAATTAATTTGTATTATAATAAGACTAACTTTGATAAATAATGAATTAATTAAAATTAAAGAATAATGTAAACATATTAATAAACTGTAACAATTCATCATATAAATAATTTGATAAAAGTGTATCAAAAAAACCTTAATCTTACCCTTTACTGAATGATGTTCGTCATTTCGACTTCAGGATAAATGGAGTAAGACTGTCTTTATCCCCAACCCAAATCAACCCAACCTAACAATTAAAAATTGTTTCTCTCTTCTCTACCTACACAACTCAATCTTCCAACCCAATTTATCGTTATTCATAACCCAACTCAACTTAAATATTTATTTTATTTTAATTTATTTAAAAATTACAATTGTGTTCTAAAATATATCAAGTGTGGTCTCTATTTGTAGAGAATGAAAAAGTACGAATTTTGATATTTTTTTTATTTTTTTTAGATACAAAAAATATACTTGTGCAATAAAAATAGGACAAGTGTCCCATTTCGGTACAAAAAATCGGTCGCGACCCGAGGTCACAATGTGACCTGGGTCGCGCGCATCCAGTGACCTTTTCCTTTTTTTTTGTTTTAATTTTTTTTTTTTTTAATTCCGTGACCCAATAGGAGGGGGTCACGGATAAAGGTGGCCTAAGGGCTTGGTCTGCTTTTTTTTTCTTTCTATACTTGTTTTTTATTTTAATATATATATACATATATATTCGGTATGTTCGGTATTTTTTTTGGTACGAGAAAAGGAAAGCGAAGCTAAAGCTAACGCTCGATCACGATCTGGCGTGGGTGGGCAACGCCAATAAGATCATGATGTAACCAAGAACCCGTTCCTAAAGGAGGACGATCAAACCAGTGCAGACCACCTGCACCCTTGGCTGCAAGAGAAGCCAGAAAATCTGCTCGATTTTGGGGCAGCCGAGTCGGTGCTGGGTGCTGACCTGGTCAAAGCTGAGGCTGCGAGAGCCAACTCGAAGCGGGTCAACTTAGTTCGAGTTGACTGGATTTGAAACGGGCGAGTTGACTCTCTGAGTCGGAGGTCCGCGAGTTGGGGCGATGTTGGGTCGCGCGAACCGGGTCGCTGGGGCCGTTTCTGGCTGGAGGCGGCTTCTCACGGGTTTGAGCTACGGTAGATTCGGGCTCGTCGGTGCAGGTGGAACTCGACTGCCTCGTCGCGACTCACCGCCGGACTCGGGTCTGAGCGGGGCTGAGCTCGCTGTTGCGGTCGTACGAACTGGCACTGTACCACGCAGGTGAAGATGGTCGGGTGAGCTGTGTACGGGCTGAGGCGAGAACGGAGCTGCGACGGTGCTGCTCAGAACTTGAACGGCGGGCAAGGACGTGAGAAGGCGCTGGGATGGCGTGTTGCTCGCGAGGCTCGTGAACTCGAGCTGGAGACGGCGGTCCTTGAGCTGCGCGCGCGGGATGAGGTCACCGAATGAGTGGTCGCCGGACGGCAGCTCGCCAGAGGTCGGAGGATGGCCGGATTTTGACCTATGGAGGTGGAGAGCTTGAAGATAAATGTGGAAAATTAGGGTTTTAGATGAAAGTGTGATGTTGGGAAGATATGAATAGTGTGTTATTTATAGTGTAGGGAAATATTAAGGTTTTATAGTCTTGTTGGGCCTTAATCGGGCCTAACAATTAATACAATCGGGCTAACAAATTTAATAGAACTTGGACTCGATTAATCAAACATAGCCTAAGGAATTAATTTCTCGGCAAAGGAATTTAATCGAACTTGGACTAATAAATTAGTCGCAGTCGGTCGAATTAAATAAAAATAATGGGCTCGAATTTAAAATCGATTATAAGCTCGATTTTTAAATGGACTAAAATAAAATCGAACTTAGGCTCGATTAAATGAAATGAGTAGAAATAAAATCGAACATAGGCTCGATTAACTTAAATGGGCCGACTAAAATAATTGTACTCGCTCAAAAATGATTAAGGCTCGAATAACTTAATTATTCGGCTTCGGCCTGCATAAATAAACTTCCGATTAATCCAGGCTCGGTTAAAAAAAAAAAAAACCGGTACTTGGGGTAAATAAATCCGACTTTAATAATTAAAATTGAATAAATTCTCCATGGCTTAGACTTTAAACTAATTACTCAATTTAACACAAATAATAATAATAAATGTATCAAATAAGGAAACTGACTATTTATGATAACAAAGTCGAGCTCCATAAATAGTAACTAATATTCTGGGCGTCGCAATAATTTTTTTGTATTAACTAAATATTGCCCCTAATATGAAATTATTTTGATCTATCACTGCAATTAGCTTTCCAATGGAACTTCCATTGAAGTTTTGCACAACACCAATGACAATTTTTCCAACGATTGTAATATGGTCCGCAAAAAATTCTAATGGAAATTCAGGTAATTGAAATATTTAAATCCACTAAAGTTCATGTAATTTAATTTTAACTCTGTTGGAATTAAACAATATCGATTTCTAGTTTTATAAGTATTTATAATGCTTTTTTTGTTGGATCAATTTTAATTTCTTTAAAAAAACTTTATATATTAGAGTTATGAAATGTGATTACAATTTTGCCATCAAAATTATATTAAAAATAATGACATTTTTTAAAAACAACAATTCTATATCCTATCAAACAGTTTGAGATATGTGGAAAAACAAAAAATTCGTGAGAAATAATGGTGCGAACATATTGTAGTTGATTTTAGGAGTGTGGAATGATTTGTTATTAAAAACATGTCAAAGTAAGGGTTTATTAGGTAGTTAATTTTTTAATAAAAATTATAAAGTATAATATGTATTAGTGTATTACTAATTTTCCATTAAATTTATGTGAAAGTAAAAGTTTTTTAGGAGTTCATATTTTTACAAAAATACCCGTCCTTTTAGAGTAGTATAGATATAAAAAATAGATATAAAGATAGATATAGACAAGCGGTTTAATAATAAGAGGAGATTTGATAATCTGACTTTTTTTTTTCAATATATAATATACTATATAAAAATAAGGTAAATAAAAGTATAATAATATGGAAATGCGTATGAATATTCTATGCTTCTCCTAAATAAACGGGCGTTACACATGGAATGTAATACTGGACTTGGTCCAAGAAAACCGAAGAGAATAAAAATTCCCAAATAGTACATATTTGAATACATTAGAAAAGGCAGAACAAAAAGTATAATTTGTTAAATACCGTGAAGCAATGGAGATGATGGAGGGGGGAGGCTATACTGCAGCATCCAACCACTCCAAACTACTCTTATACACCATAGGTTTGCTCATAGAAATGTAGAAAGGTAACTCGATTTTATCGAATTCTTGCGTAATAAGATTGTATAAAAAAACACCAGTCCGGTGCTTCTTATCATCAGATTTCAGGGCCAACAACTCTGAATACTTGACCCAACCAACTGGGATTAAAAACTCATAATGTCGGAGACCTAATTGTTTGAATCTTCCCTTGTGAGCCTCCAATGAAAGATCTGCCTTCTTTCTCCATTCCCCCCTTTCGGGTCGACTCATCTCCCAAATCTCCCACGAATAATCCCCAGAACGACGCAATAACGACAGATACCTTCCGGTCGACAGGTAAATATTGTTTACACTCCCAGTTCCAGCTACAGGGATAGGGCCAGGGGTCTCTGTAAAAGTTTCAGTCTCCAGATTCACAGTCAAGACTTGGTTGGTAGGGGGATGAGTCCAATGCATGAAACCTTCAGAAATCATAAAGTGATGCTTTCGAAACGGTGTTGTGGACTCGTATTCAACTTTCCTCCATGATTTATCAACTCCAACATTTAATATATAAAAATACATCCTCTTTTCAATTACTGAAGCAGGCCAAAATATAACTGCTTTATACTCCATGGAAGCCGGTACATACCCAATTGCATGAAATCCAGTTTGGACACGGTTGACAAGTGGAGGGAGAAGAACGACTTGGCCCGTTGTGGGATTCATGACATACAGATTATCCCAATTGCCTAACTGATTCTCTGACCACAATCCATTACAAGTACTCGTGACAATGCGCCTGCGTTTGTACCTCAACTTAGTAATCTCGACTCGGACCCTTCCTTGTGGGAGCATTAAATATGACCCCAGAATTGAACATTTGAATAGTAGCCCATAAGTGGCGTGCTGTAAGTAGAAGCGCATGAAACCACAGGTGTGAATGATATGGTACCATTTGCGGCAAACAAGCCTTGCCCCATAAATATCTGGGCCTGAGATGTGAGCAAGAACTTCCATCAACAACTCATCGGACAGAGAGTCTATGTCTGAATATGGCCTCTTCCTTCTACACCTTCTCGGGTAGAATGTGCGGCTAATTTTGCCACCAATAATCTGCATATTCTTGGGTTACCAACAGAGGGATAAAACAACATTGGCATATAATAGAGAAAATATGAAACATTGAACTAAAAAAATCTAGAAAAATACTTGTTAAAGTACAAATTATTCAAAAAGAGATTATTATTATATATAAGTAGCCTAACCTGACCCAACCTGGTCATCTCGTGGAACCAGGAATTTGAAGGGTGCAACCTGTGCGCTCCCTTCTTCATTACTGGCAGCCTTTGGTAGTCCAGGCGGCGGTGGCTGCCGCACCATTGACTCTGGGATCTCAGGTGACCACCGAGTTTTCTGATAAAGAAGCTTAAGCATCCATTAACGATCTGCATACAAAACTCTGATAAATAAACAAATCGGACAAAAAAAAAAAAGAATAAGGATACAGATATCCCGTACAATCTATATATCCCAACCCCGACCCTTGAAAACCGCAGCTTGAGGAACCGCACGTTGAGGATCGACCTGCTCGAGTCGGAAAAGCCGAAGTCGAGCAGTAGTGCCGACGGTGGATATCGATTCGTCGGAGGAGAGTAGTGGAAGTGGACTTGCCGGAGGAGACGAGCAGCGGGCGCGTCAATTACCGGCTAATTCGTGACAGAAACGTGAAAATTGCCGTCAATTGTGAGGAACCTATTCTTTCTCGTCCGGTTTTAAAGCTCAAACTGCTATGCAGGAGCAGCAGTCAAGCACCGTTCGAACCGGTCCAAAACCAGATGAACTGGGGCCGTTCGAATAGTTCACCGGTTCAAACTATGAATTTGAACTTGATGGATTGTGAATTGGTTTAAATAGCACACTATTTTTACTTGTATTTCTTATGTGAAATATATTTCCTTACTTAAATTATCGGGCCAATATTGGGTCTAACAAGTAATATTATACTCATTAAAATATGTAGTGTAATTTGAAGTGGATTATCTATTGGATTATTTTTATTCCCAATTTTTTTTAAGGAAAAAAAAATTATTGTTGTTTGTTATGCACATTATTTTTATTTTTAATCACTAATAAAAAATGTGATTTAACATGAATATTGGGTTGTTTCTATTCTCTCTATTTCCTAAATTAAATATGGATTAAAATTTTAACTATAAATCTAAAATAAGAAAAAAACAAAAAAAGTTAACAACATTATTAAATATAATAGTATTGAACTCTTATTTAGAAAAATATCATATATTATAAAATTGATAATAAAATATATAGACAATTATAAATTATACATATAAAAAAATTAAAAATTATATATCAATTAAAACAGTTCGACCGATTTAACCGTTGGTCCAATCAGTGAACCATTGTACCAGTAGCTTCACTGTTCGATGACCGATTTGATTTTCAGGACAATGGTGAAAAGTTGAGTTGGGGGAAGATAAAAATTCTAAGTGAAAAGTTGGGGTCAATTGGTTTACATGGCAAATGGTGTATATTTCCTTTTTTTTTTTAAAAAAAAAAATGGTCATTATTTATTTTTTTAAAGTTCACATGGCTATTTCATCGATGGTTAGATTTCATCTTTTTTAAAAACATTGGCCACTATTCTTTAAAAAAAAAAAAATGCACATGGCTATTGATGATATTAACAAACTCTCAGTTTCAGTCTCGTCTGCTATGGTAGGTTTCGACTTCAGCTTCCGATCGAAGGCCTACGTGGTGCTGCCGTGGGAATGGGTGGGGTGCGGTTCAGCAGGACAGGGTCATGCGCGGCTCGGGTGGCTCGCGGCTTCGTGTTGCAATGGCAGGGGAGTCGACTAACTAGATGTGAAGAAAAGATCACCCGTGGGAAGGCACGATACAATTAACCTCATGTTGTTTCCAATTCAGAAAAGCATTTCCCACATCTTATTTATCCTTTTATTTTATTTCGTTAATTATTTGATTAATATTGGTAAGTAAATAAATATCTTGCCTAGCTTATTAAGCAAGATAAGTAGGATTAGGAGTGTGGGTCTCTATATATTATTTGTCATATGTCTATATATTATTGTTATTGTTGTTGTTGTTGTTGTTAAAAATCTTGTTGTTCGCGATAACTAGTTTATGTTCGTGAATGTGTTTGTGTTCGTTCGAATAATAAACAAGTTGAATTACATGTTCGAGCTCGGCTCGATTATTAAAAGAATGAGCCCTAAACATACACAAAAGAGCTTTCGTTCGCGAACGTTCTGTTCGTTAGTAGTACTAGTCATATGCACAAGACCGATCGACTAAGTTTGAGTTTAATAAAATTATTATGACTTTTGTCTCATATTTTCCAATTGTCTACCACGATCTACATCACCTGATATGGTTTCCTACGCAATGATCATAAGAAAGAGTCAGAGTCAGCCTTTATTGCATGTTGATGGTACTGAGTTCGTTAGTGGTGTTAGTTGGCTCGGTGCAGCGGCGGTTGGGGGAAATCTCGTTGTTTTCTGGCTTCAGGGCGAGACGGCTCTTGGGTGCTTTTTGATGCTTGGGATTCGACATAACTAGGCGTTTTCGGCAGTTTCGGGGTCGGTTTTTCTCGGGTGTAGAGATTCCCCTTGGGTCGATTTGGTGACATCTGGTTCGACTTGCAATTACTGTTGTGGAAGGGCTCGATTTTTTCTTTTGTGTTTGTGTGTTGTTCTTTAGTTTGTTGTTGGTTTAGGCTTTGTGTTTTTGGTTTGAGTCCTTGACCTCTGTGTGCCCGGTGAGGGCGGGTATTATCCCTTTGGGATCGTCCATTCTCCTGTTGGGAGTTTAGTTGTGTTTGTTGTTTTTGTTTAGTTGTGTGCATTGCCGAGTGGATTCTAGCGTTGCTAGCACCGATTTAGGCGGTCTTCAGACATGTACTCCCAATTTATTCAATTGTTAGTTGTATTATTCAGCCAGGGGCTGTATATTTGCACATTTGTGCGTTTATATATAATATTCTCAAAAAACAAAAAAAAAAAAAAAACCAAATTTTTAATACTTATATTACTATATTTATTTCCTTAAAAATTAACATTCTCTTATAATTAAAATAAATTCATTTCACAATTTTTAATAATTATATTATTATTAAATTAAAAGTTAATAATTATATTATTATTAAATTAAAAGTTAGTTCACTAAAGTCAACTTGTCAGTCTGCACCGTGTCGTAAAATTGTAGTCTAAATATGATTTATATATATATATATAATTTGTTATATTTTTTCCAACAAACGTTGTACGTAAAATACTGATTAATAAAATGTTACGAAAATGTGCTACATAAATATGACAAAAAAATGTTACATATAAAGTGTTACTTAATCAATGTCAATGTATTACAAAAAGGTATTACATCTAAATAAAATGTTACAAAAGAGTTAGATCAAAAGCCACATATGTTGTAGTGTTTAGGTTCCCGAGGAAGGCACTGGAAGACTCCATTTTACTACTCCCACCACCATTGTCGTAGGCCTCGCGTTGGAGGCGGTGGATCTCTTCTGACAGGAGGAGGTAGATCTACGTGATAAGGTGGTCGAGATCGCCAGAATAGGAGAATGGAGACATGGATATCAAACGGTTGAAAATTTGAGGGCTCTAGATAGGAGGGGCATCAGAGAATGGGTGGTTGACTCGCGACGGCTGATGATGGTAACGCAACTACGCAGCGATGACTGAGAACGAGTGTTTGAAGAGGAAGCCTATTAGAGATCAACGTACGGCTGACGGAGCTAGATCTCAAATATCCGGTCGTCCAATAGTGGTGTTCGAAATGAAGTCGCCGACCAGCCCCAGCACAGACCGAGCTCTTCAGCTCCGACATCAATGGCGGTTGTGGGTTTGAGGTATTGTGGTCGGCCATACGACTGACAACTCTGGTCAAGGTCCTGGGACTCTAAAATTGCTCGGGCTAAATTTTGATTTTCGGGTTCGAATATATAATTAGGGCTCTGAATTGTTGTTCCATGAAGTTTTATTTATTTATTTTTTTTTTCTGAAAGTTGAAACTATGGAAAAATTTGGACGTTTGTTTGAATTGTGTCCGGCTACACGGTTCGTAGAGAGAATCCAAGTTGGAGACGACAGAGGCGATTCAAGAAACAATCAACGACAGCGTGTGTCGACATCGGGATGCGTGGACTGTACTGTGACGTGAGGTAACATTTTTTGCAATTTTTATTTTATTTTCATTTGGGTTTGCAAAATTTACGAAATTACCATTTTTCACGGACTTCACAAAAATGCTACTTTTGGTCGAAACATGGCTTGTTTCCAGTTCTTTTTATGGTCATAGTAGACAAAGACTACATTTTTCTTTGGCTAAATTGTAAAATATAGTCAGTATCTTGTACGCATTGGCAATAATAGCCACCATCTTTACGAATTGGCAATATTAACCAACAACTTTCAAAATTTCGAGATTATTACCCAAATCCAACCAAATTCGACAGATAAATTGCAAAACATAGTCAGTATCTTTTTACGCAGTGGCAACAATAGCCATCTAATTTGGTCGGACATGGGTAATAACCCCAAAATTTTGAAAGTTGTTGGCCAATAATGCCAATTCATAAAGATGGTGGCTACTATTGCAACTGCGTACAAGATACTGGCTATATTTTGCAATTAAACCTTTTTCTTTTGCAAATTTTGCATCTGGATTGTTGTTTTTGTTTTTACTTCATCACTCCCCTCACAAAAAAAAAAAAACAATTAACGATAGATATAGATTGCACAACTAATAAGGGTTCTGGAAGATGTTGTCTCATATTATTATTGTTTTATTTTTGGACTTTTTGAATTAGGCTTTATTAGAATTGTGTTCTCTGATGTGGATTGTTCGATTTGCGAACAGGTTGATGATACTTGTTTGATTCAATTAGTTGTTTATGTTGTTTTGTTGGACTATCTACATAGTTGCGGACGAGCGGCGACGATAACAACTGTGAGCAGCCGACCGAGCCCTGATTGTTTACGAGCGGCGATGGTCGGGATGAGGTTTGACGAGCGATGAAACTCCGGTGGTACAACAGGATACCTCCGACTGACCACTGATCCACAAGAATCTATTTTTCGTATGTTTGAAATTCCTAAATATGACATTTTCTCTCTTTTCTTTTAATAATTGTATTGTGAGATTGGTTTGAAAGTCTTAGTACAAGTTGTTTGGGGTTCTTTTCCTGCAAATCAACATGAAAAAAAAAAATAAATAAAATAAAATAAAAAAACTTGTTAGGGCAGTTAAACTTCATATCTGTTGTTCTATAGTCTGATATAATGAATCATCGATTACTTTGCCCTTATATCCGAATGAATATT